ACTTGAAGTAGTTCTCTAGAAAGCAGAACCTTGCCTATTTCTTCCCCTTCCTAGGCTACCCTGTCTTACTGGTCGGGAGCCAGCCCTTAGCGTGTCTAGCTTAGTGACTTGGGCTGCCGGGTGCCCTGTAACTCCCGAGAGTGCAGAGACACCCCGCAGCAAAGGGTGCTGGTCTGGCCAGCCGGTGGGGCGTTGTTGCAGTGGCTCGACGTTGCACCTGCCATTCCTCCTCCCACTCCAAGTCTCCTTTCCGTAGTCTGGACTCCACCCAAACACTCCAACTGGGAGCTATGCTCGACCACAGCTCTCTCGCCCTTGCAGCGTCTTGCTAGTCTTGCCTCATCCCTGTGGGTAGGCAGGGCTCTGGCACATTGCAACCCAATCTCTGCCACACAAATCACCTGGATAGCTAAGTGTACACTCCAGTAGGCGGTACAGCAGGCAGTACTTGCTCACCCCCTTTAAGTCCCGGAACACCAGCACTCAGAAGCGCTGTGGTGTCATCTCTTTTGTGGTACAGCTGAAGGAGAATGATGGAAATGAGGGTTTTTTTTGGAGGGGGGGCCTTGCTGAAGAGTCACTTGACCTACAGATTGCCTCATGTTAAACGTAGAGAGACTGGAGGTAATTCAACGGGGCCGATTCAGTGTGTGGTACTCAGAAGGCTGAGCAGCACAGTCAGGTTGTTCCGCTCAATGCACTCCCACATCTTCAGCTGCTAAGAGCTGCTTGTGCGCCTGTTGCAGTGTTTGTTGTGTTTGTGTTCGAGTTGAGTCGTGTCTCCTGAGAGCACTATCCTTTGTCAAATCTGGATGCGCTGCCTCCTCTAACAGGTGAATCAGGTTGTAGAGTACAACTTTGTACATCAATAAAAGCAGAGCTCACACACCTATGATTGCATGTTGTATTTTTTTTTCCCTGGGGCAGACATTCACCCCTCTTGCAAAGGTTTTAGCAGCCTTACAACTAGATGCTCTCAGTACAACCACCCTCCTTTTCTCATGCTGTCCACCAAAGTTAATGCTTAGGAGAATATCTCTCAAAGCCAGAGACTGCCTGTGACATAAGTGTGCTTATTTATGGGTCTGTTAGTTACCGAATTCTGTTAGCTCCCTTATTTATTGGAGGTCTCAAGGTTGCTGTTGTGCATTGACTTGCGTCAGATAAACCTTGTCACTCTGAAATATACTTTCCCTGTTTCTAGGCAGTAATGGTTGGGATTGACTCCACCCTTTTAAGGGCCTGAGCAGCTAGTCAAAGTATAGCAGCCTCCCCTGGAACAACTAAGGACACAGTATTGATTCTAGCAAATTCTCACTTCACTCCTGAAGAGTGGCTTTAGTCTTACATCAGGGTAAGGATATGATGTGGAGATGCAGAGTAGATATGTGGGAAAACTACCCTTATGGGTTAGGGGGAATCATATTAGCCTATATATAGTCCAGCAGTCAGGTATGCTAGACTCTGGAGTCTAGGCCCATTCCATACACTAGGCCACCAGTTCTGACTGGTGATTTCAACTATATTGAAGACTCTTGAGCAACATGGTTAGTCTCTAAGGGTGTGACAAGAGTTCCTCCCGTGTTTGGTTCTGAGTGGTGGGTTTTTGCAGCCTTTTCACTTGGTGTTACTTGAGTGGGAACCAGGCTGTAACTCAGGGAAATGGCCATGCTATACTTTCTGCTGTATTTCTGCTGCCTGCTACATGTTGACTGTGTTTTGGCATCTTCTCCTTGAAGCCAGTGGTGGCTGAATTACTGCTTGAATTCTGACCCAAATACTTCCAGCAGAAGAACAGAGGAGGAGTTTCTTTCTGTGCCAAAGAGAGCAACCATATCAGACAAAAACGACTTCATTTAGGTTGCCCAAGATGGCTAAACTAGCTGGAGGAGAGGGTCCAAAGAGGGGCGGGGGTATGTGCTGTCCCATACAGGCCTGCTTTGGACACTATAATCCAAGAATAAAAACTATGCAGGAGAGAGTACTCAGGGCTTCTGAATTTCATTTGCCCCTGATTGTCATGCTCCTGTGATGCGGCTTCCTAGAACCGTGGGATCAGACTTTGTAAAGGATTGGTTCAGTCTTATACCTAGCCTCCAAAACATTTGTATTTAACTCACTTAACACCTCGCCTTCTCAGTGGGCAACCAAAGTGTCTTCTGAATGAGGGAGAAGAGCTTCTGGGACCAAGATACTTGTTTGGGTTGTGTAGGAGCCCAGCTTGAGTAGCCACAATAGGAAATAGCAAATTGAACCCGTGCATTTCATGGTACAAATGGACAGCTTAAAAGCTTGGATGCCACAAGAGCTTCAGGGATGGTCTTACTCCATACACAGACCTGGGGCAAGGGAGAAGGCGCCACAGAATGTGGAGCCTGCTGGGTGGAGAAAGATACTGTTCTAGACAGGGTTCTAATCAACACATTGCAACATTTGCCTAGGAGCTCTAGCTGTTTTGCAAAATAGCATGATTTCACTCCGTGACTGAAGACTGAACTGGGTGGGCTGGCCTGGGGGTTGGGAGTAGCATCCTTTTTCAAGCAACCGGGGTGTCCTACCAACAGAATGTGCTTCAGAGTTCTTCCACTAGAGGGAGGGTTCCTTCAACTTAATTTCTCTATGTTGAGTGTAGCATTGATGACGTGTGTAGGGTTTAGTGGGAGCTTAGGCAGAAAAGCAAAACAAGCTTGTGGTACTACAGCAAAATTGCAGCCAGCAATAGCGGTTGGATCAGGATCTAGGAGCCTTGGGTTCAGATCCCTTTCCCCAGTAAAGACGCTTGCTGAACAACCTTGGGGCCAGTTAGCACTCTTCCAGCCTAACTTATCTGGTGGGGTTGAGACCATAAAATGGGGAAGAACCTTGTGTGCTGCTATGAAAAAAAAATTTTAAGTGATAGTTCCGTGCGCCTTGGTGTTTAGTCATGCCGGCCACATGACCACGGAAACGTCTTCGAACAGCGCTGGCTCTTCGGTTTTGAAACGGGGATGAGCACCGCAACCCTAGAGTCGGATTTGACTGGCTTTCAAGCGAGGGAACCTTTACCTTTTTACTGTAGAATCAGAAAGGGCCCTTGTGTTTTGAGGGGGAAAGAGTAACTACAGCCATAATCAAATTAATGGATTTGGTATAGAGTCAAGCCCTACACTTTACTCACTTGAAGGATCTGCAACTGTCATCTTTGTAGCTACAGTATCCTCGTGATGTGGTGGGAAAGATGATTAGAAAAGCCAGAACGGTACCCAGGGACAGCTTGCTACAAGACAAGCTCAAGAAGAATTAACAGAACACCACTGGTGGTCACCTAAAACAACTGAGCCAGTTCAACGTATTAATGACCTACAACCCATGCTGGATTTCCCCTACACAGGCACTGGGGGAGGCAACCTTTTCTTGCTTTCAGACAGCCTGCTATCCTAAAACAACTCGCCTGCAATGGCAAACCACTTAACAGTAAAATGGACTCTGGTATCAAGGCCTGCAACAAACCAAGATGCCAAGTTTTTGCGCTCCTAGATCCTAGCGACAACAACAGTGGACCCAGCAACATCAGCCATACCATCTCAGGTTCATATTCCCGCTCTTCATCTAATGTGATTTATGCCGTCACGTGTCAGCAATGCCCTCTACACTGGACAAACAGGAAAGTCCATTCAATGGGGGAACATTTTAACCTTTCAGGACATCCAGTTGGCTGATCTAAAAGTAGTTCTCTTACAAAAGAATTTTTTTTTAATAGTTCTATTTATTAGGTTTTTGTACATAGTCGCTTGTTCATTCTTATGCATACATCTCAGAGCCTTTCATCTATTTCCTAACCATTTATACATTCCCGACCATCGTTTTACAAAAACTTCCTCACTTTTCCCTTGTAGCATTAAACTCAGTTTATCTATTTCAGCTACTCCCATAAGTTTCTCTATTATTTCATTTAGTCTGGGGTTATTGTCTTGCTTCCAATACTTCGCCGATTGAATCCTAGCTGTCGTTAATATGTATATTGTTAAGTATTTATCATTATAGCTAATATTTTTTTTTTTTAATTAGAAAATTCAAGGAGAAATAACAATTATAACACATCATTTTCTTGTTACAACTATCAAACTCTGTAACCATTAACAGATTTAAAGAGCAGAAACAAAGCTAGACAATGAAGAGCACATTTTCCCAGAAAAAGCTGTTCCCAAATTACTTGTACTAAGTGCAAAAGAAGTGTAATTGAACCTACTGTTGTGTTCGTATATATGTTAAAAGTGTAGCCAATTAATATAGGCTGGATTTAAAGGGAGGTGATTTCTAGCTGTCATATACTGTATGAATTCGTACCATGTTCTGACAATACTGTATGAATTCGTACCATGTTCTGACAAATTTAGAGTTCGTGACGGCTGGACCATGTTGTTTGATATCTAAGGAGTGTGCAATACGATCCATAATAAAATGATCCCAGCATTTTTCTCTCCAAAGCCCTATGCTTGGCGTGTCCTGAGACTTCCACTTAGATGCAATAGTCAACCTGGCCGTAGCAAGGAGCGTCGAAGTAAGATATGAGATTTCAACCTGAGGATAGGTGTCGTCAACTGCTTGAAGAAGGAGTACTGCAGGGTCCAAAGGCAATCTTTGTGAAGTGATCTGAAATATTTCTTCCACGATTTCTTCCCAAAAGGATCTGATCTTGGGGCATGACCACCAGCAATGCATAAAGTCGCTAATCTCTCCACAGCCTTTCCAGCAGACGGGACTGTAAGTAGGGTGCATGTGGTGCAATCTTTTTGGTGATAAGTACCATCTTGTATGTGTTTTGAAAAGTTGCAGACGAATGGAAAAAACTCTGGATTTGTAGGCTGACGAATCCCAAATTCTCATCCACTGTTCATCTGATAAGTTCTTCTTTAAGTCTTTGTTCCAAGCCTTCCTGTTTTCTTCTATGTGTATCTTTCCTACCTCCATTAGC